GGGGGGGGGGGGATATATCCAGTCTCTGATAGTGTTACGTTATTATGAGAGGGCTCTGTTTGATTCTGAAATTGTATATATTTATATAAATATATACATATATATGTGTGTGTGTAAGTGTGTCCGCATCTGTAGCCTGTTATTGTCTCATTATACCGCACTGTGAATGAATTAAAAGTCGTCATGAACACAGGCTGCTGTGCCTCCTGTCATCATTAATGGACGTCTCTTTAAAATGACCGCTCAGAGGAGAGGAGTTCTCATTTCTCTAACCGCCTGCTGCTTCCCCTCCTCGGCTCCTCCACTCGCATCTCCTGTGGGCGGGACTAAGTCCCGAGGATAGGAGTCGAGGATAGGAGTCGAGGAGGGGAGTTAGAGAAATGAGAAAGGGCCCGGCACGCGAAAATTATAGAAATGAGAAACGGCTCATTTCCCAGGACTCGCACGCGTCTGCTTGACGCCGGGCCCGGCTGCCCTCCCCGACGTCCCCCGACAGGCGCACGGACGCGAGGGCCCGCTCATCACTGCGCGCACATGTGCGACCGCAGTTTTAATTAATAAATGTATTCTTTGATATGGTTTAGCCTTTCTCAGGCTACAACATGGTTAAGTTTATGAATATTAGTAAGGAATACAAATCCCTCTTTGCAATGTTTACCAGCTTCCTTTTCAATCACAATCAACTGGAATAAAAACAATATTGTTAACATGAACATATGATTCAATGTTCGTTGTTTAGAGTTATTCTAAGGCTTTACTCATTGGGAACTCAGTATGAGATAGAGCACACTGTTGAGATGTCCAATCTGCCTGTTTTACACCTCAGGTGGACCAATCAGCAGGTTGAAGGTAGCTAATCCGCTAACGGGCACCACCTGCTTGCTTGCTCTCACACACACACACACACACACACACTCACAGAGAAATATATCTACACAAATGACATAACGACCCAGGGTCGTAACACTCAGTAAAAGTACAAAAGTATTGGTCAAAATATACTTAAAGTACCAAAAGTAAAAGTACTGCACAGTGTGCCATTTCAGAAGAATATATGATATGTTTTGATTATTATTGATGCATTCAAGTGTTCTCAAAGCTGGTAAAGGTGCAGCTAGTTTTAATAACTTTGTATACTGCAGGGGAGCTTGTGAATTTACTCCAGGTGCAACTAAAGTCTGATTTAAGAGTTGATATTTTACATTATAAATCCATATCTGTAAATTAACTAAAGGTAAAAAATAAATGTAGTGGAGTAGAAGTACATAGTAGCATAAAATGGAAATACTCAAGTAAAGTACAAGTATCTCAAAACGTACAGTATTGTACTAAGTTAATGTACTTAGTTGCTTCCCACCTCTTCTCTTATGCATTAACAAATGAACACCAGACCCAGGGACAGTATTATCCTACAGGCCATAATACTGCTAACTCCTGAGCTTGCAGCATTTTTATTATTTAAAAAAATAAATAATTCAATGTCTTGAGTATATTTATGTTCCATTGTTGGAAGAACCTGTGACACAATATTTTCATTGCGCAACTACAATGTAGCTGTGTATTTGACATCAAAACCTTTGAACCTTTAAAATACATGTTCTCTTTGTTTGAGGGCCATGTTTTAAACAACGATATAGATTATATTATATTAGAAGCGTTTATTGTCATTTATACAAGTACAATGAGAAAAGTAAAGTTATTCACATTTTAGGACACTTTTTCTGAAGCACTTTTTAAATATGCAATCAGTTCTAACACAATTAGGGGGGGAAATAGTATTAAACTCATAAGAAAATGTTGAGTAAGGCTTGTGCAGATTACATTTTGAGTGACATATATCTCCAATAATCATGATAAACTCAGATTTAGCTGTCAGTTTAATAAAACTCAGTGCATAACTCACAAGCAAGTCAAAAATACATATAAGGCATGCAAATGAGAGGATCATTTTGAATCCATCTGGCAGATGTACCTCAGGTCAGGGCACATGTTTCCTCCTCTACTACACAAACTGTCTGATTTGACAGTCTTTTACATTATTCCCACAACACGAAAATACATGTAATGAATGAAAGAACTACGGCCTAAATGATTCAATCTGCAAATCTTCACGTGCCTTTTTGTGTACCCCGGCATTCCCTCAGAGTACGGTTGTCTCTTGGCTGAGCTCATAAATCCCTCTTTATTCCGCCGCCTGCTGCCATAAAAGCGCCGGGAGCTCATTGTGCGGAGGGATCTGATACAGACTACACCCAGCCGCTGCTTCACTCCCTGGCTTTCTTTGCTGCCCCAGCCTTGACGTTGTTAACGTCGTAGTGCGGGTTAGATTAGAGACTGTCCACTCGTCTCTAGGTTTCCTTCCGATTTGTCTCTCTCCTGTCTGGCAACCATACTTCCGAAGCAGCAGGGATATTCACATAGCATCAATTTTCTTGAACATGTCTTGGCAAAGCTACGTGGAGAACCTGATGGCCGATGGCAGCTGTCAGGATAGCGCCATTGTTGGTTATACGGACGCCAAATATGTTTGGGCAGCACATGCCGGTGGTACATTCAACAATATCACGGTAAGGGGTGAACATCGGGTAATATGAGTTCAAGTGTGGCTTCGTTTGACAGTGTTTTGCAGGTTATGCACACACAGACGCTCGACAGACTGTGAACTGTTACCTTGCGGGGTTGAATGAAGCTAACGATACCGTGCTAGTAGCTAGCTCGTTTATCGGTGGCCTGTCCGTTATTTCCTGCGAAGGAAACGCTGCAGGATTAGACCTCGTGTTGATCAGATAAGACTCCTTGTGGTTTTCACGTACTACTAAAGCGTACAACGACAAGTCGCCGTTAGAATGCTCTAACAGAATTGTCAAATCAGTGCTATATTAACCTAAGGCTTATTTTGAACCAGCAAGTAGACGATGTCTGACTGAAGAAAACGGGCATGCTTTTGTGTGGCCGCTTTGATTAGCTAACGTTAAGCTTCACCGGCTACCTGTGGTTAAAAGGCTACACTGGGGAGGATTGGTTAGCATACGAATAGGCTTCCTCGTCAGTAAAATAAGAAACTTGTCTGACAATTCATACATGTATGTTTTTGATTGGGAATGACAATGTGTTTTTTTCCTTATTCATTGAGAGGGATGGGATGAGAGCTAGTCCGGCTGCGAAGACGTCACTTAACTTCCGCTGCTGCAGGGATTGGATGTGTTCAGTCCCAGAAATTCTAGTTTTAATCAATATATTAGCAAGTTTTCAAATTCTTTTCATAAACATTCTCTCTTAATATGCTGGAAATCTTAATGTTAGTTATATATATATATATATATATATATATATATATATATATATATATATATATGGCTGATGCCTGGATATTCATATTTCGAATAGGGCTAAAAATAACAAGCAACTCTCATTATCGATTACTCTGCAGATTAATCACTCGTTCCAGAACATTTCTAGTCAATACGGTAACTATAATTGATAAGAAAACAGATGTTGTGTATAAAAAAGGAGTGTTTTGAACCTATTCTGTTTACTATCATGAATGAATATATAAATACCTGAAACTATTAATTGAAATTCAAAATGGTTACTTTTAAATTGACAAGCTGCAACGATTAGTAAACTAAACGTTTACTTTTTTGACAAAGTAATCTCCAACAAACTTGATAATGGGTAAACTCTTTAGTACCTTTTTTTTTTTTTCAATGCACCAGATTCAGCCTCTATAAACTAGAATTAACATTTTCTAACACTAAAAACAAAGACTAAACTAGAAACAATAAAATCAGATGATCATTTATATGTGCAGCTCTACAGTATAGTAGTATAGTTTTTAACTCTAGTTGTCATTTTGGAACTAAAACAGACATTTTTGAGATTTTTATCAAACAAAAGTTTTTGCATTTTATTTGTCAAACAAAACGATGGCAGTGTCCACGTATTTTTTTTAAATCATAACTGCTTAATCTTATTTATATGGGAGGCACTACTATTTATTTATCTTTAAACCTTAGCGGAGGAGTTCATTTTTTTATGTTATATTCCTGAGGAAGTATGCCAGTCATGTACCTGAAAGCGTATAAAGTAACTAATATTTGTAACATAATTAAACTGACATTTCCCAATCCTGTGTTTTTGTGTATTTTTCAGTCTCAAGAAATTGATGTCCTCATTGGTAAGGACAGGGAGAGCTTTTACACCAGCGGTATGACTCTGGGTGGAAAGAAGTGTTCAGTCCTGAGAGACAGCCTCCATGATGACGGGGACTGGACAATGGACATCAGGACGAAGAGCGGGGTAGGAGAACCCACATACAACGTCACAGTGGGAAGAGCCGGAAAAGGTAACAGTGTAGTTTCAGAATTGTTAACTTTATCATCCTAACCATTTGATGTGTTGTGTATGAGGGCTACCTCACATGAGTTTTGTGACTCAAGGTCAGACATCCAGGGGTCTGTTTGATTACATCTACAGCAACATGATCAAAGCTTTGTTAATTTGAGCTTTTTAACATTTAAAAATGTCACCTCTGGAGTTTGCATTCTTTATCATATCCAGAAAATTATTGGGAAAAAAATGATCTATCCTGTAGTCGTGTTGCTATTTCATATCCTTTTGAGCAAGTACACTTCAGTTATTTCAGATCTAATTGCTCACAACTAGCTAAAGTGAAACATAACCCAAGAGTCACAATAACATATGTCTGCTCGTCATCAAACCGTATCCAGGGTTTGCCTCATGGACTGTATATATCAATCGATGAACGTCACAAATAGTAGGAGTAGTGTTTGGGGGGGCCAAAACTGCGGTATCAAGCCCCACACACCAGCTAGCTGCCAAGTTGACACAATGGTAGTGGTTTGGCCAGGAAGACTAAGTCTAACTCTTATATTTGTATTGTAAATGTATGATCAAATTGACACATTTTTGTATCTCAGACTGTTATAGAACATTTAACTCGGAGCAGCTGTCAATCACAGCTGTCAATCCTCACCTCTCACACTATTTTTATAGTGAAATATAACTAATTAAAACCAAACTTATCAAAATGTTTACAACCATTAGCTTGACAATTAATTCCTAGCGTGACAGAAATCACCTTTGTGAAAAATTGAGTTAAAGTTTTTAGTTTATCGTCCGCCTTTTTATATATACAGTCTATGGTTTGCCTACTCCAGTCCATTTGCCTTTGTGGTCCTCAATGTCTGATATTGCTTCAGTGTGTCTCACATGATACTTTTAGTAGTCTGACTATGTTTTGGTCAGTTATCACTTTTTATGTGGGGAAACACTGATTGCAATCACAACCAAACTCTGTTTTCCTTTCTTTTTCCCATCACTGTTCCTCTTTTCTGTTGAGTTTCCACCTGTCATCCTCCTGCCTTGCATGTTATACTCAAAGAATGGTTGTCAAAAGAGCACTAACATTGCATACCCTTAGGAAAGATTAAGTTCCCATTGAGTCCCTGGCATGTATATTAATTAAGTCTTAATTTAGAGAAATTAGCCTATCACTTATGGGCTGTTTTCTGTGTGATACTCTCTGGTTCGTCAGTCTGAAGTTCCATCTGATTTGCTGTTAAAAGCAGATGTCAGCAAAAGCTCTCCTAACCAATCATTGCATAAAAGTGTTTTGATGGTGATATTCAACCATGTGTTATGGATGGCCAGTTCTGGGTGAGACATGTATCACTTTGTGAATATGTCCATTATTTGGTATGTTTAATTCAAAAATAATTTAATTATCATAATTTGGCAGTCCAAAATGTACGGACAAGTGCTGCACAATTCATCTACATTTTATCGTCGTGAAAAATCTGAATTTGTGTTTCAATGAGTACCATTTTGAAATGAAATATTTTGAAGCTGCAGAGGTATCCCGGCCTACAATTTGGTATTGTTCAGACTCAACAAAATACTTTTGAATACAGATCCTCTACAATTAATTATCATACATTGTTTATTGATAATTATGCGAAAATAATCCAAATTGCAATATCAGTGAAATTATTTTCAATTATTTATTTCCAACCAAGTTGTACAGCGCTAGTATGGACATGATTACATTTGTAAAACTAGCATCTTTGCTAGCAAATGGTGTGCCCGTGAGCCCTGAATGGCACACAGTTAAATATCTATCTTCACGCTGCTGGTGATTTCTTTCTTGGAATGCCTTTCCCTTTTATCCTTTTTTCACTTTTCTTAACTGTCCCTTTTCTATCTCTTCTCTTCCAGTTTTGGTTCTTGTAATGGGCAAAGAAGGGGTCCATGGAGGCGGATTGAATAAGAAGGCTTTCTCAATGGCAAAATACTTGAGGGATTCAGGGTTTTAATGTTTTACAAGCTCACTTAGATCAAAATTTGAGGGACAAAAAAAAAAGAAGAGAAAAGAAATGTTGTTAAGATTTCTCCTGCAAGCAGTCAAATGTCATGGAAACCTTTTAATAGCAAATGAAGAGTGGTAAGATACTGTGTCACCTTTTTGTTACCCCCCTCTTCATCCTGTAAGGGGGAGGGGGAGACTCTTCAATTTTGTTCATTTCTCTTTTTTTCCTTATGTGCTCCAGTATTGGTTTTTGTCATGGGAAAGGAGGCGGTCCATGGTGGAATACTAAACAAGAAAGCACATTCAATGGCTGACTACCTGAGGAAGGCTGGATATTAAGCAACCTCTCCACCCATCCATCAGCCCACCCCCCCAACCAACCAACCAACCACCCACCCACCGCATTGTGTTGACACTCCTTCCAGGATTAGACGGCATACAATGTAACATCCTACCCAGTGTACCCTTTTTTTTAAAACGGCCTTTTGTTTGCTAAAATCCCCTTTTTTTTTTCTTTTCTTTTTTTTTATATATAACCCACCCCCACTTAAACCTTGTACTTTATTTTTTTTGGCACTGCAGTAATGGCATGTACATTGAAATGTTTATTAACAAAATAAAAGTGTAAAACAAATTGGGATTGGCTTTGTATAACATCACTTACGATTCCAAGCAGAAGTACACATGTAACGGGGTTTTGCTTAACCCTTATGTTGTGTTCGGGCCTCCCGTGACCCGTTTCAAGTTTAAATGATATAATAACTACGCTCTAGGCATTTTTTGTTTTTTTACGGAACAAGGCTTCATGATCTCCTCCAACAGCTATATAAACACTAAAAAACAGATTTTGACAATTTAAGCTAAGCCTGATCGTCTCTTAAAAAAAAAAAAAAAGTATAATTTCGCGTCGGGTCTGGGAAGAACCAGCAGCATTGTTGGGGGTGACTCGGGCAAATTTGGCCCAATCAAGATTCATCTTTGACTTTATACACTCCAACCCCTTCATCCACTGTAACAATAATTTAAAACTTTTTGGGGGAGAGATTGTATTCTAATATTATTCTGCTGTCAGATAACGTAATGATCCACTGTCTTCACTATAGGAAATATGAGTTTTACTTAAATATGTGGTGTAATGTTTTTTGGGGCCATAAAATTACAGCAGGATTGTACTGTTATGAATGCATTATAAGTTAGTTATGATGTAGTTAAAACAATATTGGATGATAGTGTTTTGGACTGAGAAAAATCATGGGACAAAATTGACCCGCGAACGTCATGAACGGTAACAGCTTTTGAACGCAACACAAGGGTTAGCAATACTATAAAAATGGCTGTTTTGTTTTTTTTGGCATTTAAAGTTGCATGCATACCGTCTTAAGCAAATCTCTGTTCCGGAGTAATATTCCAGCCAAAGCCCATCTTCTCTTCTGCCTCCATCTTGAAAGAAATGTCCTCTGAGAAAGTCCTGTATGTGTGTACCAATTTGCTTCCTGTTCCCCTCCATCACATGCTTTTGCTGTTGTACCTGAACGTGGTCTTAATGATGTGGGCTGTTGTTTTGAGTGTAGTGTAAGAAGAAGACATATTCAGAACATCCTGCAGTCTATGCGGACACCTCCATGACGGCTCGGACATTTGTCAGCTTCTGCTATTTGTAAATTTGTCTGCATCACTTCAACCATGTGAATTTATTTTGTCCCCCCCTACCCTCTTTGGACAAATTGTCAAAAGTAAGAGGATTAACAAAGTTTTTCTGATGGAGGATTGTTGGCATCACCTGTTGACTGTTAACCATAAAGGCGACTTCAGATGTTAAACCGCTTCCTTAGACATCGACGCAACTTTCATCACTAATTGATTTGTAGCTGACTTCATGTCCATTAACCAATGAAAAAGCATTTTACTACAGTATGAAGGACTGTACACCGAGGATTGTTGGGCTCCTTGGAATTATTTGCCTTGTGCTTTAGTCATCAAAGGTGTATTCACAATTGTCATAGTACGGTACTTAGAAGTATATTTAAAAGAAGAAAAAAAAATGAAGCTGTGTTCACTAAAACCTCTTGAAAATGGTGTTGGAATAAGAACATTTGTAAGTTGTCTTGTGAACATTTTCTGAGAATAACTGTATTCTGTGCCATAAAAATTGATCTGATCTGTTGCTACGAGTTGGATTTTTAACTGCTGCCCCGGAAAAAGAAGTAACTTTTAATGGGACTTTCCTAAGGGGGATGTTTTGGCATCAGTAATCTCCATCTTTGTGTAATATGTACAGAATTAAACAACGGAAAAATAAGTTTGCGATATTTTGTCTTTTCTTTTTTTTGTTGTAAATTCTTTCAGCCACAAAATCTGCTATTTTGAATGCCATGAATTGATGAGACATCTTGTTTGCAGACAGATCAATAAAAGTTATTCCAACCAGAGGTAAAGCCAATATGTCCTGTGTTGCCTCGTAAGTACATGTTGACTAATTCAAGAGTTTTATATAATTTATTTTTAATTAAGCTCATCTGTTCGCACTTTTTTTCAATAATGATACACTACATTAGCTGTGACGCACGTCTTTTTGGGACATAGGTTAATCTTGTATTATACAATCAATACAGCTAATCACTACTGCCTTACCATTAACTTTTGAACAAATAGATTCCACTAGAATTGTATTATGGGAGATGAAGTCAGGATTAACCTCCTACTGAATACCAGAGATAACTACTCAATATTCCTTTGCAGAAAGTTAGAGGACAATCCACATTTCTATTGTATTTGACCAGATGAGAACCAGTAGTGCCAGATATTTCGATAAAACATTTTTTTTTTAAGCACTGCCAGAGGTGGAAAAAGTATTCAGATTCTTTATTCTAGTAAAAGCACTGTTACCACAAAAAATACTAACTTTCAAGTCAAATAACTGCATCAACAAGGGTACTTGTGTTAAAGTATGATTAGGATGTACTTCAAGTATTAGGAGTAAAATAACTAATAGCAGAAAAAAAATGTTAAAGCAAATCTCCACATTTAAGAAACTGAAACAGTGAAATATATTTTAACAAAAAAGCTCCTAGCAAAATTGCTGCCAGTTAGTTTAGTTGGATGCTTTAGTCTAACCCAAATAATCATATATTAAAAGCTTTTCCTAAGTATTGTGTGTAAACATTTATAAAGTAACAATACATATTTAAAATAAACGAGTTGGGTAAAAAGTCAAAAATTGTCCTCCAAACTGTTGTAGAGTAGAAATACAAAGTTGGATAAAATGGAAAAAATACTCGGGTAAAGTACAAGAACTTCAAATGTGCACACAAGGACAGCCCTTTAAACGAAAATGTACTAGCCTAAGATTGGTTATAATAAGGGGAAATATGAAGGGTGTATTTCAATTTTTCGGCTTTTTTCCCATCAACTAAGATGTGTTATATGTTTTCAACTTGAATTGACTAAAATGTAAACATATATATTTAAGAGGTACAGTATAAGAAAAGCACAAGTTTCATGTGTGGGCTATTTTCCATAATCCTTTTTGAATTTGCTGAGGGCCAACTCGAAATGGACAACAGGCCTCAGTTGGTCTTAATAGAAACACTAAACTACCCTGCATCCTCAGATATAAACATTTCAGAGTGAGCAGCAATGGTGGAGTGTAGCTAAGTACATTTACTCAAGTACTATTTAGAAATGCTTTACTTTATTTCCATTGTATGCTACATATGCTTCTACTCCTCTACATTTTGGAGGCACACATTTTATTTGTACTCCTCTACATTCATATTTATTATGTACTTTGTACATGATAGGATATGCTGATATGATGATATGCAGTACTGTACTACTAATCTACCCTTTCTCTAAAAAGTAACTAATATGGTCTCAACATTTACAAACTACAACATTAAAATGTATCCCTTTGGTGATAAAACAGAATAATACTGTGAAAAAAGAGTCGATGTGCATACTGAGTACTTTTACTTTGGATCATTGAAGTATATTTTGATAATAATACTTCTACTTAATTCATAAATGTTACTTCTATGGAGTAAAATTTATAAATTGGAGTATTTTCAAACCATAGTATTTCTGCTAGAAGTTTATCAGTGGACACATACAGTACAGAGTAGACAAAGACTCCATTTTATTATCTCACACTATAATATATATTCTGAATCTGCTTGTTCTAGTCACACCAAGTAAAATCTTCAAACCCACACGATAACATGTAAGCTACTTTTTGGTTTGCTATGACAAATTATTGCGAGTAGTGACAGCCACAATCTCAAGGAAAAGCTAAACAGATATTGGCTTAATCTGAAATCAGAAATCTAAAATAAATCAAGACAAATGTGATAAACAAGGCTAAAAAACATGGATGTCCAATAAGTGTCAAAAGAAGAACAATTTAATGTGTATCTTTGTTATTCCTCCACTGCCAAAGACTACATGTCAGTAGGGTGTTCAGAGACACAAATGAACGCCCGCCCTTAATTGCTGGATTGGCAGCACCTGCTGTGGTCAGGTGTAATCAGTCCTAATCAGGACCAGCTATGTTAAAAAACTGCCTGCAGAGGAGAGAGAGCACACTGCTACAGCACACTGCCGGTGTGCAGTGCATTTTCCTGTGTTCCAATGACGTGTCGAGACAGCGGGGACAGTAGGATTTTACTATGTTTAGGAGTTTTACTGGTTGCTAGTTCATTTAGCCATTGCACAAGACTGACAAAGCCTAGAGCCTTGGATACACTAAGAAGAAACTCTACAAGTAGCAATGGGCAAGTAAAAGGAAGTGAACAGCACCATGGAAGACTCTTAATAGGGCTACATTCTCAGCAAGGAACCACAAAGAACCTTCTGGATGTTGATGCAGATTACCAAGATGACATGGGTATGTAGCTGTAATACTTACAGTCCTGCAAGTGACTACAAGAGTTGTTAATCATGTCAAGTCTTTTAAGACTAAGTCCAATGCTTTTATTTTTTACTTGTATTTGTGTACATTTGAATAACTGTGCAAACCTTACTTTTCAAAGCTTCGGATGAAGGCTATTCAAAGCAAAACAGTGAGGCAGTGGAACGTCTTCTCAAAATGGAACCAAAGGTTGAATGTACAGGCAACTCCATGAGGCTTGAAGTCCAAGATGCTGCTTCTACCCCTGGATCTCTCTTCTTTGTGGACAGGGGTATGTTTAACTTGTGGAATGATGCATATACAGCCATTACTTGTACTGTACACAATACTTTTAAAATCTCCTGTCAAATGTATTGTCAGGAAGCGGCTTGTCTCCACTGCCTTTGTCAAAATTACCACAAAGCTGCGGTTACACCATCAGATCAACACGGAGAGATTTGGTCTTAGTTGCCCCTTACGATGGTTGCTTTGTCGCTGTTGAGGTGAGATACTTAATCTTGAAGAAATGCACATTTGAACCATGTACACATGCAACATTTGCTTTCTGGTTTTAGGAGGACTGCTACGTTCTCCCATTGCGTTGGTATGGGTTACCAGTGAGGATGTCATGCCCTATGATGAAGCAGTCATCACCTGACCCTCCGATGGTCACCTGCCATGATCAGGGTATGATCGTGAAAACGAGTTGGATAGTCCCTGTTTCTAAAATTGAAGTGAATTGTAAGTGGTTTCCTTTTTCTTTTGATATTTTGTATCTTAATGTTGAAGATAAATATTAATGGATGCCTATATACATTTGATTGTTAGGGCCTATGTATAGTGCATCATTGCAGTCGTTATTTAGGGGACATCTGTGTTCTTTATGCTATTCCATGTCTGCATTGATTAAACTCTGCACATGGCACACTCCAGTTTAACTTCTCCTGGCAGTCCGTGATATACTTACACTAACTATAATTCAGTATGCATTCTATTAGATCATTACCTCTGTCATGCGTAATGTCCACTAGTGGCCTGGTATTTGGAATCTATTTTACATTACATTGCATTTAGCTGACTCTTTTATCCAAAGCGACTTACAATAAGTGCATTCGACTAACAAGATACAAACTTGAAGAAAACAGAATCATATAAGTAAATCAGGTTTCATAGAGCTAAAAAATGTCAAGTGCTACTCAACTGGCTTTAGATAAGCCAGTCCTTTATTTGTATATAAGTGCTTTGTTAGTAATTCTATGTTAGTAATTCTATCGCTCGAATTGGAGTCGAAAGAGATGAGTTTTCAGTCTGCGCCAGAAGATGTGTAAGCTTTCTGCTGTCCTGATTTCAATGGGGCGCTCATTCCACCATTTTGGAACCAGGATAGCAAACCCATGTGTTTTTGCTGATGGGAACTTGGGTCCCCCTCACAGTGTTGGCACCCTTTAGGTTGTTGTGCTGGTTTCCCCCAAAGCCTTGTCTACATTGCTCATCTTTTTTTATCTTTGTCAATTTGAAGTATTAAACCACATTTCTCAATTTAACACTTGGTCTGTCTTTTAGCCTTAAGTGATGGGACTCAAATTGGACAACAGTTGAGCTGTTTTCAAATACACATTTTTAAAGGGTCACATTTGTTAAGCCTCTAATCTCAAAATAGTACTGGTATTACAGCAATGGAATTGAACTTTACGTGACAAAGATGTCTGCCCTTTGACTAGATGTGTTTTTTTAAAGTATAACTTATTACCTTTCAGTGGATGGTAACTGGGAGCCATTGATGAAGGCATCAGCCAGATGTGGGTTCAGTGTAGTCTTGCATCCTGAAGGGGCAGTAGTCTCTGTTCGCTATGCACCCTGTCTGGGCATCAAGGTATGGGAGAGTATTTATTTTTATTTGATCTCCTTCAAAAAATATTGGATAACCAATTGATCTTATTGTTTCAGGATGGCATGTACACCCTTGAATTGGCTGGTGAGGGAGAAACTAAAATCTCCTGTCCATCATTGTCAGCGGTTTCAAAGTTTCCTGGGAAACCATATCAAGGGTCAGAGGATATCAAAGAACCCAAGTTGCTTCAACCTGCAACTCAGGACACAAAAGCTCCCACTACTGTATACCCATCCCAAAAATCAACCCCTTTTATAGCACCATCTGCAAGCCAGCCAGAGCCTGAGAAGCCAACTATTACTCTGAGGTCTCCACAGCCTGACAACCATCAAGGACAAGTACAACAGCCTTTCTACCCCTCCTTCCCCTACTATCCTCAGCCACAACCTGAAAAGCCCACCACAGTCCCACAACCTGAAGCACCAACCATTACTTCAGTGTCTGAAAAGCCAACTGCACCTCCCATACCTCCCCAGCCTGACACTCCTCAGGGCCCAGTACAGCAGCCCTTATTCCCCTTCCCCCACTACCCTCAGCCAGTGCCTGAAAAGCCAACTTCCGCTCCCAAACCTCCACAGCCTGACGCCCCACAGGACCCAGTACAGCAGCCCTTCTTCCCCTTCCCCTACTACCCTCAGCCAGCACCTAACCAC